ATAAAAGTCTCAGGATTAGAAAGGAACTTCATAAGGAGCAAATATTTATGAAAAACCTACAAGTAACATCATATTTACTGATAAAAGACTGAACGCTTTCCCTGTAAGATTAGGAACAAAATGAAGATGTGTACTCTCAACAACTCTCTTTAAAAAAAAAAAAAAATTCATTCATTTATTTAAATAATGTCTGTACCCAGCATGACTTACGACCCCAAGATCAAGAGTCACATGCTCTATTGACTGAGCCAGCCAGGTGCCTCTTTTTTTTTTTTTTCCTTTTAAATCAAAGAAATGTGTATTAAAACCTCTCTATACCAATTTTACTCTAACACAATAAACATAAATACAGTTGTAACACCCATTGGACCATAGATACATTACTGTTGCCATGGTAAATTGGTATATTCTTTTCAAAAGGCAAGAAGCATATAGTAATAGTTATACATGGGTTTATATACTCTGATCTAGAAAGCTGATTCTGGCAGTTTACTCTGTAACTTAACTGAAGCCTAGACAGTTAATATGGAGAGATGCTTATTGATACATTCTCTCTTTTTATTGTAGCAAATATACATAACATTTATCATTTTAACCATTTGTAAGTATACACTTCAGTGGCATTAAATACATTGGCAGTGTTGTATAACCATTGCCACTGCTATACCCAAAACTTTTCCATCATCTCCAACATAAACTCTGTACCCATTAAACAGTAACTCTCCATTCTCCCCCCCTCCCAGCCCCTGATAACCTCTACTTTATGTCTCTAAGAATTTATTCAGGGTACCTCATATAGGAGCCATATAATATTTGTTGTTCTGTGTCTTTCTGGGGGTTATTTCACTTAGCATAAGGTTTTCAGAATTCATCCATGTTACAGCATTTATCAAAATTCAATTCCTTTTTATGAATGAATAATATTCTGTTGTATAGATATATCACATGTTTATCCATTCATTTTTTGGGTGGATATTTGGGTTTTTACCATTTGATTATTGTGAATAATGCTGCTATGACTAATGATGCTGAGCACCTTTTCATGTGCTTATTGGTCATTTGTATATCTTCTTTGGTCAGCATTTCTTTTGAACACTGTACTGGATGTTCTACCCAGTACCCTAAGACAAGCAAAAGAAATAAAAGGCATCTGTATTGGAAAGAAAGAAGTAAAATTGTTTTTATTCATAGACACATTATCTATGTAGAAAATTTGATGGTACCTACAAAACTCTACAACTTATAAGCAACTGTATGAAGATTGCACTGTATGAGATCAAGATATAAAATCAATTGTAATAAAAAAAATAAAATCAATTGTATTTCTATGTAGTAGCAAAGAATAATGGGAAACTGAGTTAAAACGGAATAGTGTCATTTACAATAGCATTAATTATTACTTAAGCAAAATCTGATGTGAAGGACATAGGCTGTAAACTACAAACATGGATGAGAGAAATTTTTACAAATCTAAATAAATGCAGAGATGAACCTTGTTCATGGGTTTGAAGACTCAGTATTGACAGTCTTCCTTAAATTGACCTATAGTTTCAACACAATTCCAGTTAAAATCCTAGTAGGCTTTTTTTGGTGGTAGAAATGGACAAGCTGATTCTAAAATGCTTATGGAAATGCAGAGGACCTGGAGTAGAATCAAAACAATTTTGAAAAAGAACAGAGTTGAAGACTAACACTTCCTGATTTCAAGATTTATTATAAATTACAGTAATCAAAATCATTTGGTACTGACATATAAACATATAGATTAGTGGAATAAAGAATCCAGAGATGAATATAAACATGTTGGGCAGTTGGTTTTTGAATAAAGATACAAAGGCAAAACAGTGGAGAAAAGTTAGTTTTTTCAACCAGTGGTGCTGGAAAAATTGAATATCTGTATGTAAAAAGTGGATCTTTATTTATACCTCCACTATATACAAAAACTAACTTAAAATGGATCGTCGACCTAAATGTAAAACTTGAAATTATGAAATTTTTAGAAGAAAACATTGGAGAAAACCTTTGTGACCTTAGATTAGACAGTGATTTCTTAAATATGATACCATAAGCATGACCCATAAAAGAACAGATTGGTAAGTTGGACTTCGTCAAAAATAAAAACTTCTGCTTTTCAAAAGGTATTATTAGAGTAAAAAGACAAGTCATAGATTGGGAGAAAATATTTGCTAAGCATATGCCTAATAAATGATTTTTCTATAGAATATATAAAGAACTTTCAAAACTCAAGAATGGGGGTGCCTGGGTGGCTCAGTCAGTTGAGTGTCCCAACTCTTGGTTCGACTCAGATCGTGATCTCAAGGTTGTGAGATTGAGCCCCATGTGGGGCTCTGCGCTCAGCGGGGAGTTGACTTGTCCTTCTCCCCGCTTGTGCACAAGCTCTCTCCTTTTCTCTCTAAAATAAATAAATAAAAAAAAAATCTTAAAAACAAAAAACAACTCAAGAGTAAACATACAGCCCAAGTAGAAAATGGCCAAAGATTTTTTTTTTAAAGATTTATTTATTTATTTTGAGAGAGTGAGAATGAGAGAGAGAGAGATAGTACATGAGAGAGGGGAGGGTTAGAGGGAGAAGCAGGCTCCTCGCTGAGCAGGGAGCCCGATGCGGGACTCGATCCCGGGACTCCAGGATCATGACCTGAGCCGAAGGCAGTCGCTTAACCGACTGAGCCACCCAGGCGCCCAAAAATGGGCCAAAGATTTGAACAGAAGCTTCACTGAAGAAAATACATGGATGGAAAATAAGCACATGAAAATGTGGTTAACATCACTAGTCATTAGAAAGATGCAAATTAACAGGTGCCTGGGTGCCTCAGTCAGTTGAGCATCAGACTCTTTTAACATTCTTTTTTTTTTTTTAATATTTTATTTATTTATTAGAGAGAGAGAGAGACATCGAGAGAGGGAACACAAGCAGGGGCAGAGAGAGAGGGAGAAGCAGGCTTCCTGCTGAGCAGGGAGCCCAATGCGGGGCTCGATCCCAGGACGCTGGGAGCATGACCTGAGCCAAAGGCAGACGCTTAACGACTGAGCCACCCAGGCGCCCCGAGCATCAGACTCTTGATCTCAGGGTTGTGAGTTCAAGCCCTGAGTTGGACTCCATGCTAGTTGTGGCGCCTACTTAAAAAAAAAAAAAGATGCAAATTAAAATGATAGTTAAGTATCACTGTAGGCATATTAGAGTATCTACATTTAGAAGACTGACCATATAGAGCTTCAGAGAGGATGTGGAACAACTGGAAGTCTCATATACTGAGGGTAGGAATATAAAATTGTATACTCACTCTAGGAAACTCTTTGGCAGTTTTTTAGAACTATATATACCTAGCAGGTGATCCAATCCTTTTGTCTTAAGAATTGACCTAAGGTAAATGAAAGCTTATGTCCGTAAGACCTATACATGGTTATTTATGACAGCTTTATGTGTAATAACTCCAAACTAAGAATAACCCAAATGTCTGTTAATAAGGTAAATAGATAAACATGTTGTGGTATACTCAACAGTGGAATACTACTTAGCAATAAAAAGGGATGAGGGACACCTGGCTGGCTCAGTTGGGAGGGCATGCAACTCTTCATCTCAGGGTTGTGAGTTGGGTATAGAGATTACTTAAAAAAATATTTTAAAAAATATAAAAAGGAATAAACTGATATAAACAACAGCATGAATGAATCTCAATTATGAGAAAAGCTAGGTAAAAAAAGAATACATACTATATGATTCCATGTACATCAGTTCTAAAAACTATAGTGACTAAACAGATTACTCATTGTCTGGGGAGGAAGGGATATGATGGGATATATGAAAATTTGGGGGTTTGATGGATATGTGTACTATCCTGATTGTGGTATTGATTTCACAGGTGTATATATTTATGAAAATTTACACTTTAAATATGTACATTTTATTGTATGTCAGTTGTACTTAGTTTAAAAAGCATATGAAATCCACGGAAATATTTAAAACCTCAGAAGCTTAATTTTATTTTTAGAGGTGCCGAGTTTAGAGATAATAGAAATCTTGACTCAATGTTCATAATCTCTGGGTTTCTACCATGTATTGCCTAAGTCTCTTAGTATGTGTTTTCTATGATTTTGTCTTCCTTGATTATAGTATTTTATGTTCTATCTGGTATTTATATAGGAAATACATCGTGAATCCTAAACTTACTTAGTTTACATGGTGTTTCCATAAAGTTTCTTAACCAGAAGGGACAGACTCCTAACTGGATTAGGAGACCGGTTTGATTATATTTATTACTATTACATTCATTCATTCATTCATTTATTTAGTCAGTCAGTCAGTCAGTCAGTCTTAGATCTTGACTTAATTCATGATGAACTCCATTCATTTGTTTAAATGTGAAGCTTAGCTTTAGGAATTTTGTAACCTAAAAGAGAATGATTTTTTAAATGGTCTGAATATTGTTCATGCAGTGCATTTTGCTGAAGCACCATAGCTCATAGCCCACCTCTGACAGTTTGATTATATATTTTTTTTTAAAAGATTTTATTTATTTATTTGACAGAGACACAGCGAGAGAGGGAACACAAGGAGGGGGAGTGGGAGAAGGAGAAGCAGGCCTCTCGCGGAGCATGGAGCCCGATGCGGGGCTCGATTCCAGGACCCCGGGGTCACGACCCAAGCTTGAAGGCAAGATGCCCAACGACTGAGCCACCCAGGCGCCCCCAGTTTGATTATTCTTAACAGGGCCTTCGCACATGAAAGGATCATAGTTGCCTTACAAATGAGATGATGCTGTAAACTGGTACTTTCTAGCAGGTAAAAGCGACAAGATAATACCAAAACAGTCTGCTTCTCTGGAAGGACAACAATTTGATTATAAATCCAGCTGGGAAGTGCACTTAGTTGATCACTGTTAACCCAGGAGTATTTTAATTTTAGTTAGTCAAGATAAAGTGTTTTATTTAATGGATGTCTTTTTTCTTTTTTTCCTCTTCTAGGAAATAAAATAGCAACCATGATAGAAGACAAAGGGCCGAGAGTGACTGACTACTTTGTTGTGGCAGGTCTCACTGACACATCTACTCTTTTAGATCAAGAAATAAATCGTTTAGATACTAAGTCAACTGGGCCTAAAGCTCCAATTACAGACATTGCAGTTATTAACAAATCTGCTGGGGAAACAGTACCTGAAGGTTACACCTGTGTTGAAGCCACTCCATCAGCTCTCCAAGCAAATTTGAACTATGGAAGTCTGAAAAGCCCAGAACTTTTCCTCTGTTACAAGAGAGCAAGAGATAAACCACCCCTTACCGACATCGGGTATGGTGACTTACTTTCTTTTGCTATAGTGAAGGAAATAGCATTTATTTAAAGTGCATGGGAATAGAAATTTGAAATTCTTGATAGTTCTATTATTATTATTATTTTTAATTTTTAAAGATTTTATTTATTTATTTGACAGAAACAGCGAGAGAGGGAACACAAGCAGGGGGAGTGGGAGAGGGAGAAGCAGGCTCCCCACTGAGCAGGGAGCCCGATGGGGGGCTCGATCCCAGCAGCCTGGGATCATGACCTGAGCCGAAGGCAGACGCTTAACGAGTGAGCCACCCAGGCGCCCCGATAATTCTATTATTATTTGTTACTTTAGGATCAAGTGTAGTAAGATATTACATCTCTCTATCCACCCTTACTGAATTTCTCTGCATTGTATTTGAATCATTAGATCATTTCCTTTCAGAAGATTGAAATGAAGGCATTAGAGCCTGAAATGTGATTCCATTTCTCTTGTACTTTTCAGATAAACTTATTAATTAAAAATAAAAGAACAAGAAGCTATAATAAAAGACTATATTTTTAAGGGGCTACTTAGGTTATGTGATGAGGTTTTGTGAAGCCCTGACCTCATTTAACAAAGGAACATTCCTGTTTAAAAAAAAAAAATGTGCTGTGTGGTTTTTAGCCCCAGGAGGGAGGAGGTATTTACAATTTAGAATGAGTATAGTTGTTATAAGGTATTTAGTATCTAGTCCACAGCCAGAGAAGTACATTCTTTGTAAAAGCCCTTTTTCCAAAAATGTCTACATTGACCCTCTTTTGTAGATGAGATATGCTTTTAGAATACCTATAATTATTACTTTAATAGGTATACATGTCATGTATTATGCTGTTCTGTTTATTATAATTACCATCAGTAAAAACATGTAGGTATTTGAGAGCATCTTAGGAAGTATTTGGGATCAGCTTGTCCATTTATGCAAAACACGAAGTTGGAATTTTGGTGGGGATTGCATTTAATCTATAGATCAAAGTAGGGAGTATGGCCATCTTTATACCAGTTAAGTCTTCTAACTTATGAATATGAAATATCTTTCCCTTTTATTTAGGTCTTTAATTTCTTTCAGCAGTGTTTTATAGCTTTTAGTGTACAAGTCTTTCACCTCCTTGATTCATTTTATTCCTACATATTTTATTCTTTTGGATTCTATTAAAAATGGGATGTTTTCTTAATTTCCTTTTTGGGTTCATTGCTGTTGTATACAAGCACAGCTGGATTTTAATTTCATGTGTTAATCTTACACCCTGCAACTTTGCTGAATTTGTTAGCTCTGATAGCTTTCTTTTGGATATTCAGTGGTTTTTTTTTAATATATAGGATCATGTCATCTGCAAATAGAGCTAGTTTTACTCCTTCCTTTGCAGTTTGTTGTGTTTGCTCCCTTGTCTTATCGCTCCAGCTGGGACTTAACGTACAGTGTTGGATAGTGATAGTGAAAACAGGCGTCCTTGGCTCATTCCTGATCTTAGGTGGGAAGCTTTTAGTCTGTTCACCATTGAATATGATGTAGCTGTGGGTTTTTCATAAATGCCTTTTATCATATTAAGAAAGGTCCCTTCTATTTCTGATTTTATGAGAGATTTTATCATGAAAGTGTGTTGGATTTTTTTCAAATGCCTTTTCTTTGTTAATTGAGATCATGCACGTATTTCCTTCTTTCTATTAATGTGATGTATTACATTGATTTTCTTATGTTGACTCTCTTAATATCATCACAATACGACTCTGTAGAAATGATTAATTACTTAATATCATCCTATATCCAAATCCCCCTGACTGTCCCATGAAGTTGTTGTTGTTTCTTAATGGTTGCTGGTTTTTCTGATAATAGTTGTTCAGATACTAAGAAAAGGTAGTGAGCTGCTCCATTTGACCACCACTTGTTGCCTTCATCACCTCCTCTACTTTTGCAGTCGAGCTCTGGTGAAATGGTCCTACGTCCTCATTATGTTCAGATTTCCAAAGTCAAAGGATGATTTGTCCTTAATCTTACTTGACCTTTATGCAGCATCCATTTAACTCCTTTAGTATTGGCCACCCTGTTTAGCTCTGTGGTTTTCTTTTAAGTCAGTACAGTTAGGATGGTGGTCATACAGCTTTATAGGATCATCAGGAACAGGAGCCAAGTTAGAAAGGGTTGAGAAATGATTGGAATTGGATTAATAGAGGCTTTTTTGAAAGCTTGACTTTAAGAGAAAGAGAAAATAGTAATGGGCTTTTCTATTTAAGATGTGGTCCTTGAGCCAGTATCATCCGTAGGGCCTGGGAACATGTTAGAAATTCAGAATCTCAGGCACTGCCCCAAACCTCCTGAATCAGAATCTGTATTTTAACAAAATCCCCAGAGGCCGCAGTTGAGGTTACCTGGGTGGGGGGGTGGGGTAAGGCAATACAGAGCCATGGGCTGTTTTTTTAACTTTCTTCCAGGGGATAACCTTGAACATCTCTATTTGAAGGAGAGACACCAATGGAAAAGAAAGGGTGAAAATATAGGAATAAGGAGATATTTGATAGGATAAAATTATGAAACAGATCGAAGGGGTAATGTCAACAGCATAGGTGACTGGATTAGCCTTTAATGGGAGGGGCTTTTCCTTTGAGGAGGTTAAAATTGGTATAAACACAAACTGTTGGTTGCAGGGGAGTAATTCAGGACATGTGATGGTTTTATGTCAGTTCTTTTCATTTTCTCCATGAGTTTCTTAAGAAGATAGGTAATATCCATAGAAGGATGGGTATAGGGTAAAATTTTGGTAATATCCATGTCAGTTGATGGGAATCAAACCAGGGACATAACTTGTGTTTCAGACTTCAGTGTTGACTGTCAGCCATCTCTCAAGGCCATCTTTTCATATCCTCCTTCCCATCTCCGCACTATACAGTCATAATTGAGAGGATGTGTAGCTTTCAGAGATTGCTGTTCTTGTGGTTCAGGGGCACAACTTAAAATGATGACTTAGATAATTATACTTAGATACCTTCAGGTTGCAAGTGACCCATATACATCTTATAGTTCCCTAAGGCTTGTTATGATAGTTTACTGATCTAGTTTCCCAGAGTGTAGGTTGTCTTTTAGTTAATCATGATGGTAAATTTTTCTTTCCAGATCAAATAATTGTTAATACCTGGTGACTGCAATATTTTGACCTGTCCACCCCACTTTCCCCCCATTTAAGCACACGAGTGAGGTTTGGAAAACTTGTAGCCACTACAAAGACAGGTACCCATCTCATTCAACTAAATAAGGAATACTGTTTTCAAACTTTTGACCTTTTTGACTTTCATAAACTGATATGAGATATTTATCAGGTTTTCTTTTTTTTAAGAAGAAATGTTAATTGAGTTTAAAGTATATAAGATGTGATATTCCCCTGTAACATCAAATACTCTATAAAGTATAATTTAAATAGTACAATATATTATCTTATGTGTCAGATGTGTTTATTAAGATAAAGAATCACAAATTATGCAGTTCTTCCTCCATTTATCAGATTCATTGATTTTTTTGAAATTTTATTTTATTATGTTATGCTAATCACCATACATTACATCATTAGTTTTTGATGTAGTGTTCCATGATTCATTGTTTGCGTATAACACCCAGTGCTCCATTCAATACATGCCCTCTTTAATACCCATCACCAGGCTAATCCCTCCCCCCCGAATCCCCAGTTTGTTTCTCAGAGTCCATAGTCTCTCATGGTTTGAGAGAGTGAGAGTGCACATGTGCATGAGAGAGAGAGAGAGAGAAAGGAGAGAGAGAGTGCGTGCACGCCCATGGGGGGGGTGGGGCAGAGAGAGAGGGAGAAGCAGACTTGCCGCTGAGCAGGGATCCTGATGTGGGGCTGGATCCCAGGACCCGGAGATCATGACCTGAACCAAAGGCAGATGCTTAACCGACTGAGCTACCTAGGCGTTCCAGATTTATTGATTTTCTTTCTTTCTTTTTTTTTTTTAAGATTTTATTTATTTATTTGACAGAGAGAGAGACACAGTGAGAGAGGGAACACAAGCAGGGGGAGTGGGAGAGGGAGAAGCAGACTTCCCGTGGAGCAGGGAGCCCGATGTGGGGCTCTATTCCAGGATTCTGGGATCATGACCTGAGCCAAAGGCAGACGCTTAATGAGACTGAGCCACCCAGGCACCCGCGGATTTACTGAGTTTCAAAAGAGCTTTTTCTCCAGCACTTTTGTGTTTTTTTTGAAAATTTTCAAACATACAGAAAAGTTAATTGAATGCTATAAAAAACACCAGTATCTTTTCCTCATGAATGATAGACTATAGTATAATGAACAGTACACTTTCCACCTAGATTCAGCAAATTAACATTTTTCCATATTTTTGCTAAACTATTTTGAAAGGAGGCTGGAGATATCCTGACCATTCTCCCATGAATACTTCAGCATGCATCGCTTAAGACATGTTCCTGTATAACCATGGTATATAGAAAATTAATAATTGTATCATATTTTTCAATATCCATTCCTATCCAGATATTCACAGTTATCCCTAGAATATCTTTTATCACCTTTTTAAAAAAAATATTCATGGGGTGCCTGGGTGACTCAGTCGGTTAAGCAGCTACCTTAGGCCCAGGTCATGATCCCAGGGTACTAGGATCGGCTCCTTGCTCAGTGGGGAGCCTCCTTCTCCCTCTGCCTGCCACTCCCCCTGCTTGTGCTCGATCACTCACTCTGTCTGCCAAGTAAAATCTTGAAAAAAAATATTCAGCATCCTGTCATAGTTTACTCGTTGCATTTGGTTATTATGCCTCTTTAGTCTCTTTATCTTCCCCCAATTTTTCTGTTATATATTGACATTTTGCAGAGTCTTGGCCAATTGTCTTATAGAATGTTCCCCACTCTAGATTTATCCAATTGTTTCCTCATTATATTGTTTAACTTGTTACCTTATTGTCAGTATTTCCTATAAATTGGATGTTAGGTTTAAAGTCTGAATTAAATTTAGATTAAATATTTTTGGCAAGAATACTTATAGGTAGGGCTAGCATTAGGAGAGGATGTAGTGACAGATTGTCTCATAATTAGTAATGTTAAGTTCAGTCACTTAGTTAAGATGGTAATTGCCAGATATCTGTTGTTATTTTCATTGTTATTTAAGTAATTTGTGGAGTTGTGGCCCTTATTTAAATACCTGCTTACCTAGTTCCTTTTCACTTCTCATTTTGTAGGATCCATTAATCATTGCCTGAATTAGAAATTGCATGGCAGGGGATGTAAAATGAGACTTTTCTAATTCTTTTTAAAGATTTTATTTATTTATTTGACAGAGAGACAGCGAGAGCAGGAACACAAGCAGGGGGAGTGGGAGAGGGAGAAGCAGGCTTCCTGCTGAGTAGGACCCTGGGATCATGACCTGAGCCGAAGGCAGACACTTAACAGCTGAGCCACCCAGGCGCCCGAGACTTTTCTAATTCTATCATTTAAAAAATAAATTTTTTTAACTGGCATTTTTCTTGAAGAGCTTGAATGAAGAGCTCTTTTTTTATTGTTTTGAGAATAACTAAGAAACTATGGATTTTAATTTATTCCGTGTGATAAAAATCTATTATAATCCTTATTCTATTTGCTCATATGGTCCCGAGTTTGGTTAGTGGGAGCCCTTTCCAGCTGACTGCTTCGCCAAACAAAATCTGGATTTGTGTGTGTTCATTGTTACTGAGGCGTTTTTTATATATATATATATTATATATATATAATATATATATGGGTTCCTTGCCCTTGGAATAAGACCTATCAAACATTTACAGAGTACTTACTGTGTTAAAAAATTATATGAAATAGTGTTTCTATGTGGTTATGTTACCAGTTTGTTATGCAGTTTGCAGTTAGGTTCATCTGTTTCTATTTGTTTCATTTGTTTCAGAAAAATTTTCTGTTAATATGGAAAATATTGTCACAGCTCAAAACATGTAAAAAGATATATTTAGAGAAGTATTGCTTCAGTCTTTATTTCCTCTACTTTTTTCTCTATACTTTATGCCCTCTCCTCCCCTGTTAATGCGGTTTTTGATTTACCTTTCACTATGTGTTTTTACAAAAATAAACACATATGTGTGTATATTTATTTTTTTTAAGATTTTATTCATTTGAGACACAGAAATAGAGAGAGAGAGAGCACGAGAAGGGGGAGGGGCAGAGGGAGAGGGAGAAGCAGGCTCCCAGCCGAGCCAGGACCCTGGGATCATGACCTGAGCCAAAGGCAGACGCTTAATTATCTGAGCCACCCAGGTGCGCTCAGGCACCCCATGTGTGTGTATTTTTATTTCTTCTTCTTAAACACACTATAAATACTGTATACACTATTTTATACTTTGCTTTTTTCAGCCAACAGTATGTCATCGGAATCACCCCATATTTGAACGTGGAGGTCTTTCTCATTTTTTTATAACTCTGTAGTACTTATTTGTGTGGATGTATGTACTTTATTCAGACAGACCTCTGCTGATGGACATTTGGGTTCTGTCCAGTCTTGTGCTATTACAAGAATGCTTTGGTGAGGGGCGCGTGGGTTGCTCAGTCGTTGAGTCTGCCTTCGGCTCAGGTCATGATTCCAGGGTCCTGGGATCGAGCCGCTGTGTCGGGCTCCCTGCTCAGCGGGAAGCCTGCTTCTCCCTCTCCCACTCCCCCTGCTTGTGTTCCCTCTCTCGCTGTGTCTCTCTCTGTCAGATAAATAAATAAAATCTTAAAAAAAAATGTTTTGGTGAATAACTGTGTATATATTATTACATATTTGTGGAAGTATATTTTCAGGTAGTCCTGGAAGGGCACTGCTGGGATAAAAGATAAATGCATGCATAATTCTGTTAAATGTTACCACATTTCTCTCCATTGTGGTCATTCCACCATCAATATATGATATATGTGCTTCTTTTCCCCCAGTCCCATCCACAAAATATGTGATCAAATTTTTGAATTTTTGTCAGTCTCACAGTCAAGAAGTGATTGTGTTGGAGTAATTTTAATGAGATTAACTATTTCTTCATATGTTTAAGGACTGTTTTCTGTTTTTTCTTTTGTGAATTGTTAATGTCTTTTGGCATTGACTTTGTTTATGTCTTTTTAAAAACAGGGTTTTAGGACACTTGGGTGGCTCAGTCAGTTGAGCATCTGCCTTCAGCTCAGGTCATGATCTCAGGGTCCTGGGATCGAGCCCTGCATCAGGCTCCTTGCTCAGCAGGGAGTCTGCTTCTCCCTCTCCCTCTGCTGCTCTCCCTGCTTGTGCTCTCTCTCTCTCTGATAAATAAATAAATAAAATCTTAAAAAATAAAAAAAAAGGGTTTTGGCCTTTTTGATTTTTTTTTACAGTACATTTTTATGTACTAGGAAGATGAAATTTTTGTGAAATAAGTTTCCAGATGTTTTCTTCAAGTTTATAATTTATCTTTTGACTTGTGTTTTTTGTCATGTAGAGTTTACTTGATGAAGTTTATTTTCTTCCTCCCTTTTATTGCTTCTAGGTTTTGAGTCATAGTTACACTTTTCCCAGTGCTAGGTTTTCTTTTAGTACTGGTATGTTTTCATTCTTCTTTTTTTAATTAATTAGTTATTTTTTTTAAGATTTTATTTATTTGAGAGAGAAGAGAAGCAGAGGGAACACAAGCAGGGGGAGCGGGAGAGGGAGAAGCAGAATCCCCGAGGAGCAGGGAGCCTGAGGCGGGGCTCGATTCCAGGACCCCGGGACCATGACCTGAGCCAAAGGCAGACGCTTAATGACTGAGCCACCCAGGCGCCCATATGTTTTCATTCTTGACATTTATCTGTGATCCACTGGGAGCTTTTTCTGGTGTATAGTGTGAAGTATAGATACAATTATATTTTTTTCCCAAATGGCAATTCAGCTATTCAAGCACTGCTTATTAAATTAAAAAGTCCATCTTTCCTGCAGTATATTGAGATGTCACCTTTATCCATTTCTGGTATTTCTTTTGTGTTCATTGTTCTTTCTGTTCACTCATTTGCCAGTACTATCCTGATTTAAATATAGAGGCTTTATAATGTATTTTAATACTTAGTTGGGTTTTACCAGCTTCATTGAGATATAATTCAGATATCACACAGTTCAACCATCTCAAGTGTACAATTTATTGGTCTTAAATAGATTCACAGATTTGTTCTGCTATTACACCCAATTTTAGAACATTTTCATCCCCCTAAAAGGAAACCCTGTACTCATCAGCAGTCACTCTCCGATGTCCCTTTCCAACCTCTACCCTTAGGCAACTACTATTCTACTTTTTGTCTCTATAGATGTGCCTGTTCTGGGCATTTCATGTAAATGGAGTCATACTACATGTGGTCTTTTTTGTGTAGCTTCTTTCACTTATCATGGTTACAAGGCTCATCGATGTTGTACCTCGTATTAGTACCTCATTGCCCTTTTTTTTTTTTAAAGTTTGTTTATTTATTTAAGTAATCTCTACACCCAATGTGGAACTCAAACTCATGACCCTGAGGTAAGAGTTGAATGCTCTTTTGACTGAGCCAGCCAGGCACACCTTGTATGTCACTGCTTTTTATTGCTAAACAATATTCTGTTATATGTATATGCCACATTTTATGTATCTTTTCATTAGTTGGTGGACATTTGATTGTTTCCACTTTTTTGCTGTTATGAATAAAGCTGTTAAATGTGTATTTGGGGCACGGGGGTGGCTCAGTTGGTTAAGCAACTGCCTTCGGCTCAGGTCATGATCTCACGGTTCTGGGATCAAGCCCTGCGTTGGGTGCCCTGCTCAGCGAGGAGTCTGCTTCTCCCTTTCCCTCTGCCTGCCGCTGCCGCCTCCTTGTACTCACTCTCTGTGTGTCAAATAAATAAGTAAAATCTTTTAAGAAATGTGTATTTGTGCAGATGTGTGTTTTCATTTCTCTTGGGTATATATCTAGGAATAGAATTGTTGAGTCATACCGAAACTCCTGTGTTTAACCCTCTCAGGAACCACTGGACTGTTTTCCAAAGCAGTGTTTATTCCCACCAGCGTTGTATAAAGATTCCAGTTTCTCTACACTCTCACCTTACTAGCACTTGTAATTATGTCTTTTTGGATTATAGCCTTCCCAGTGTATGTGAAGTGGTATCTTATTGTGGTTTTGATTTCAGTCCCCTAATGGCTAATATGTTGAGCCTCTTTCCATGTGCTTTTGACCATATCTTCTTTGGAGAAATGCCTATTTAGATTCTTTGCCCACTTAAAAAAAATTTTTTTTTTAAGTCTTATTTTAAAATAATTTTAGTTTTATGGAAGAGTTTTTAAGGATAGTACAGACAATTCTTCATATATTCTTTGCCAGCCCTATATCCATTTTTGTTGACTCTATAGATCTCTTTGGGAAATACTGACATCTTACCAAATATTAGGTGTTCTTATCCATGACCATGGACGTCTTTTTATTTATTGGTTCATCTCTAATTTCTTTAAACCATGTTTTATAGTTTCAGTCAAGGATTTTTATATTTATTTTCAGTCAGAGGATTTTTAAAGGTGAAATTTTGACAGGAGTTATGAAGATAAATTTCGTGAAAATGTCTGAATACTTGATCTAGGAATCAACCTGAGGATGTTTATGGTGTTGCCCCTTTCTTGTTTCATATGTTTTTTAAAAAGCGATAAAAAAAATCAAATTGTTTAATCTTATTTATTCTTCTTAAAATTACATTCCAGCTGTTGAAAAATAGTAGTTAAGAGATCTATAATTCCCAAAGTAATAATCTTACTTTTGGTTTACAATTAAGATTTGAGAAACAGTTTTGTTTCTCAATTTTTTTTGTTTTCAAGAGGAAAACCAGCATTAACTTGAAATGTATTTATCTATCTATCTATTTCTCCCCTCCCTGCCTTGCAGAGTTTTATATGAAGGGAAAGAAAGGCTTATTCCAGGATGTGAAGTGATCCAAGCCACACCCTACGGTCGCTGTGCCAATGTCAACAATAGTTCAACTACTTCACAAAGAATCTTTATCACTTATCGAAGGGCTCCTTTAATTCGACCCCAGAATTCCTTGGCTGTAACTGATATCTGTGTTATTGTAACCAGTAAAGGAGAAACCCCTCCTCATACTTTCTGCAAAGTTGACAAAAACTTAAATTGTGGAATGGTAAGAATACAGTTGTTTCCTTTTTAGTTTTTTTTTTGTTTTTTTTAGAGCCGAAAGGTCTCACATTTATTACTGAACCAACCTACTGGTGCAGAGGCATAGTCACAGAGAAAAATCATTTCCATGATAAGACAAGTCTATGGCCAGGTAGGAAGGATGTTTACAGAATGATAGAACACATGATCTTCACGCAGTGTAATTAAATATGTGTGTCAATTAAGTGTGTCATTTCATGATGTGTGACGCCTTATAGACCCAGCTTGGTTCTTCTCCAGTGTCTCCTCTTGGAGTTGTACCTGATCTTATTACCAGTTTTCATCTGAATCCCCTGGGGAATGGGATGATTCTGCTTTTGTTTCTTGGCCAGGAATCGCTTGATTCTGAAAGTCTTGTGAGAAGACATGGCAAGAAGCAGCCAGCCATGCAGAGCAGGATGGCGGCGAAAAAGAGAAAGCTCCTTTTTAGTTTAATATGTACTGTCTCCCACCCCCGAAAAAAGGATAATTTTTGTACTCCTGTTTATTATTGGGTGTAGATTTTACTCTGCTTATATTTTGTGGTTATTTTTATTATTTTTAGGTCTGTAACTTTTATGATTCATAATAATTTTTAAAATCCTTAGCTGTCTGATTTTTAGAAAAATTGCATTGAGAAAATACTTAAAAGTCAGGGATTTAAAACTGTTTTTTGGTATGTGCTAATATTGCCTGGATTACACTAATATGGAGGTTTTATTAGCTTTTGTGTTTCACTGGTGTCTTCACAGAACTCCCTTTATATTATTTTAATTATTGTAGTTTTACATACTTGCTTTTTTCCAAGTGGGCTCCACACCCAAAGTGGGGTTTTGAACTCACAACCCCGAGATCAAGAGTTGCATGCTCTACTAAGCATGCTAGGGACCCCACCCCTTACATACTATTTTTTCAAAGGGCTCTAATGAACAAGAACATTGAACATAACATGATTTATAGTTTTATGAGACTAAGATTTACTATTGGGTCAGATTTATTTTGAAAAATATCTTTAGATAAAACTATTAGCTTTAATGAAATATAGGCAAAGATGACTGGCTAAGGTACCCATGGCTCTTAGTGAAGACAGTTTGTCTCTGGAGGTAATGACTTCATTGTACCTCAGTTACCTTCATAGTACCTAGTTTGAGCTCCAGAGTCCACTCAACTTTGTGCTGTTTCTTTCAAAGTGTCTGATTACAGCATTCTAAACTTTTTGAAACTGTTCTGTGTCAGTTTAATTTGCGGCAGTGTTTTTTTACTCCTTTCTTTTAGTATTCTGAACTTCATGTTTTGCTATATTTTATAGTCTGTAGTCTTTTTTTTTAAGATTTATTCATTCATTTTAAAGAGAAAGAACGCACGCACCCTCGCAGGTCAGAGGGAGGGGCAGAGGGAGAGGGAGAGAGAATCTCAAGCCGACTCCCTGCTGAGCATGGGGCCCAACATGGGGCTCAATCCCAGGACCCCAAGATCACAACCTTAACTGAAACCAAGAGTTGGGTACTCAACCGACTAAGCCTCCCAGATGCCCCTGTAGTCTGTTTGATAAACATAATGTTTTGAATAGATTTCACTGAATAATCAGAACCTTTAGAAGATTTTCAACAAAATCAATTTATTTTCACTCTTTGGTCTTTTTTTAAAACATAATTTATATTTTACAGTGGGGTTCCAGTGTATTTCTGTGTTATAAGAAGTCTGTGCCTGCTTCTAATGCAATAGCATATAAAGCTGGTGAGTAAATTAAAAAAAAAATTGTTACTGTAGTTATTGTTGTTCATTAACATTTGGTTAGTTTCCGTAGTGTATTGGTCATCATGTTCACCTACCATTTACATTTGGTTAGAAGAGACGATGTATACCTCCTTATGTAGTTTATGGGGTTGATCTATTCATAAATTGAATTATCTATAATATTAACATGTAAAGGCACAAGTTTTCTTAAATACATTATATACTACAAGATATATTAATATTACACCCTCCCCCAAACGTGTTGTTAAATAGAAATTTTCATCCCAGGTAAGCATTTGTGAAATGAACATTCAAGTTTTTAGTCTTACACTAATAGATTTAACAATTCAATGGAAAACTGCTTACTCTCACTGAACTTTTTATTTTGGCAATCAGAAAGGTGTCAAACTGCATCTTTACTTCTTATATTTCCTTCTCTTATCTCTGTGTGTCTGATTCAAAACCTCATGTTACTTGCCATGAAAGGTGGACTTGCTTCCTTTTTCCTTTGTTGCAAAGAATCAGCTATATGGAGGAGAGGAGGGCCTGAGAAACTTTTCTGCCATGAAGTGTTTGAGAAATCTATCGCCACATTCTTACTGCACAGTAAAGTGTCAAGGGCTGTAAAGATTTAAATGTGACCTCTTCATCCCACTGGTATGGTGGGATAGAAACTGAAAATACAGGTATGCTGCAGTTGTAAATAGAAGAGATACTGGAATACTTCTTGTGAAAAGAAGCAGTGTCAGTTACTTTTTGATCATGCACAATTTGTTTTGCTTCAGGGAAGTCAGGCAAATCCATATATGAAAACTCTTGATTGTCTTTCTAAAGACATTCATACTAATAAATCAGACCATTTTAATTTATAATATAAAAATAAAGGTAGCAACTAATAATTACAAATTTCAGTATCATTTTAAAATGTGATACTTGTTAATATTGCTGTAATGTGTTGATTGTATGTGATTTCCTAAATTGTGTGTGTGTGTGTGTGTGTGTAGAAAGTGTCACTTAAAAAAGTAACACTTACAGAAACAAGCTTTGTGAAAGTATTCAGGTATTTGATAAAAGACATATTTTAGAATATAAAGCTTTGCACACCGAATTTTGACTCAGAATTCTGCTACTCATTTTCAAGAGTTTAACTTAGAGTTGGTCTGCATATTAGAGACATCAGAGGCTAATGAACTGATATTTTGTAGCTACTTTATTCTGAAGGGGCTTTGTTATGCTTGCCAGAGGACCCCCTGATCCTGCTTCATTGGTCTCACTCTGTACTCAGCCAGAGGATTTTGGTCTCATTTACTTCTCATGCTGAATATTTTTTCCACTGCTGCTCTCTCAAGATGAGTTTAAGAGCTCTGATATTTCTGTTGCCTTGGCATTATTATATAACACTTAACCCTTCCCTGAATTTTTTTACTGAAATACTTGGTAAATTTTCCTATATGTTCCTCACCCACTCTCTATATGATGTTGTGGTATGCAGAAGAAAATATAGTAAGATTGGTGATACTGTTGAATAGAGTTTTGACTTGTATATTTAGTACATTTTAATGTTACAATGAATTACAAGTCCCTGAGTAAAAAATAAAGGGTAAACTTGTTAATTTATTTAAATTTCTGATACAGCAAGAGAAAAAAATTATTTTGAAATTTCGCACATAAATATTTTTATGAAATTGTATCACATATAACTTATGGGAAAGTAACTATTTAAAAAATTTTAATACTGTCTCTTTTCTCCAAAAGGTTTAATTTTTAGATATCCAGAAGATGATTATGAGTCATTTCCTCTCTCAGAATCTGTACCTCTCTTCTGCCTTCCCATGGGAGCTACTATTGAATGTTGGGATCCTCAAACTAAATACCCACTTCCAGTTTTTTCAACTTTTGTCCTGACAGGTTCTTCTGCTGAAAAGGTATATATTTTCCTCTTTTATTAAACCTATGTTGTCTGTGTTTTTATCCCATAAAGTAATTAATATGATGTCAGTTTATTTGAATGTTAGGATTATTTGGCCACAGTATATTTTGGGTTAAATTTGGACTGTGGTGCCCAAGGTGAGAAGTCAACCATGAAAATTGGCATCAGGATGGAAGCTACCTCTGGAGCTTCTACAGAAGCAAATATAAAGTCTAGAGCGATACCCCCAAAATCCAAGCCTCAAGATGATATTATACTAAAAGTTAGAAGACAAATACCATAGGAAGAATCAACAGCTTTGTAAAGCTGGATTAGACCCTGAAGATATTGAATTGATACAATGATAATATTAAAGATATAAGTTAAATATATAATTGAAATGATTTAAGATGTCAAAACATCAGGGAAGAACAGTGTATTTTGTGAAATAAGTAGACAGCCTGGGAAGAGAATCAGACAACTAGAAATGAAAAGTATGGTCCTTAAAATTAGAATCCCTGAATGGTTTGAACAGCAGATAAGACATACATGCAGGGAAAATTAATGAAGTTCAAGATAGGTTAGCCCAGATGTGGCAAAGAAAAACATCGAAGAGAGTTTAAAAATGTAGAGGATAGAATCAAAAGGATCAGTGGATATTTAATGAATTCCGGAAGGAGAGATTAGAAAAGGGAGAGGCAGCATTTTAAGGGATATTGGTTGGTTGTTTTCCAGGGTTGATGAAAAATTGAGTCTTTTAGATTAAAGATACACTTTGAATCTTCAGCAGAAAGGTTCATATTATAGTGAAAACATAGAACACCAAAGAAAAAAAGCAACCAGAAAGAAAAGACGTACTTATTTTTAAAGGGACAACTATTAGATTGTTGGCTAATTTTTCAATGACAGCATTGAGGCTCAGAAGACAAATAATATATTAAAATGGAGTAAGCAGAGATCAGTTTAACAACATATAGAAAGTACTGGCCAGACTTCGCAAAAAATGGCAAAGTAGGAGGATCCTGGGCTCACCTCATCCCATGGATATATCTAGGTAACACTCACATCAGTGTAAATAACCCAGAAAACAATCTGAAGATGGGCAGAACAAATGTAGAGAAGAGGCCACGTGAAAGAGGGTAGGAAGGGCAGAGAAGTGGTTGGGAGCTAAAGGGACATGCATGGACTGTCTGTAGGAGGGAGGGACATCACCAGCCTGGAGAAGGGAGGGAAATAAACCCTCACACTGAGGAGCCTGTGTGGGTAAGACAAATCCCCATAATATTTGGCTTTGAAAACCAGAGCAGGGGGCGCCTCAGTGGCTCAGTTGTTAAGCGTCTGCCTTCGGCTCAGGTCATGATCCCGGGGTCCTGGGATTGAGCCCTGCATCGGGCTCCCTGCTCTGTGGGAAGCCTGCTTCTCCCTCTCCCGCTCCCTCTGCTTGTGTTCCCTCTCTCCCTGTCTCTCTCTGTCAAAATAAAAAAAAAAAAAAAAAAAAAATCTTAAAAGAAAGAAAGAAAGAAAACCAGAGGGGCTGAATTTCATGAGTTCTTACAATCAGTGGGACTTAAAGCCTGGATGTTTAAAAATCATCAGGCTAGGTTCTAGGACAACAGGGCGAGTGATAGGAAACTGAGTCCTCACTCTTTTTTTTTTTTTTTTTTTTTAGATTTTATTTATTTGACAGAGAGACAGCAAAAGAGATAACACAAGCAGGGGAAGTGGGAGAGGGAGAAGCAGGCTTCCTGCTGAGCAGGGAGTCTGATGCAGGGCTCGATCCCAGGACCCTGGGATCATGACCTGAGCTGAAGGCAGAAGCTTAACGACTGAGTCAGCAGGTACCCCGTGAGTCCTCACTTTTAAAGAGATAGCACAACAAACAGTCCACAGATACACAGCATGGAAGCAGCAGTTTGAAAACTGGGGCATAGGGAGGGAGAGTTATTTACTCATCTCAGAGTGTATCTTTAAGGGTAGGGTTCCCTGAGTGACTTCTCCAAAACAAAGGAGCTGGCAGGTGCCATTTCCCTCCCCCCACCTCCCAGCATAATCACACGACTACCTGTGGGAACTATTCATTATCTAAGTTGATTAAACTGCATCCTGCCCCTCCAGCCAGGCCTGCCTCAGTCCTAGTGCTGTGAGTCCCCTCCCCCAGAAGACTGGCTCAAACCTTGCCAACACCAAGTCTCCCAACTGTGCGCTTTGTGTGGCCTCAGTCCTGGTGGCAGTGGCTGGTTACCTCCTGTGGAGGATGCATGCACCTTGTTAAAACTGAGCACCCCATTGGTGTGTGCTTTGCAGGTCAGCCCAGCTGGCTCTGGTCTTGGCAGCACTAGCACATCCCCTGTGGAAGAGGACCAACCAGCACAAAACTAATAGGGACTGTGTACGCCATCCCCCTCCCCCCAGCATGCACTTTGCCAGTTACCATGGCTGGTCTTGGCAGTGGAGGCATGTCCCCTGTGGGAGAGGACGAGCATGTACCTTGTTAAAACTGCGTGGTCCCCCCACTACTTTCAAGAGCAGGAGACTTAGGTGACTTTCCTAACTCACAGAAACAGACACAGAGTTAAGACAAAATAATGAGAGGAATATGCCCCAAATGAAAGAACAGGATAAAAACAGTAAGAAACCTAAGCGAAGGGGCGCCTGGGTGGCTCAGGTGGTTAAGTGTCTGCCTTTGGCTTGGGTCATGATCCCAGGGTCCTGCGATCGAGCCCCGCATCCGGCTCCTTGCTCAGAGGGAGCCTGCTTCTCCCTCTCCCTCTGCCCACTGCTCCTCCTGCTTGTACTCTCTGTCAAATAAATAAAATAAAATCTTAGAAAAAATAATAATTATTTATTTTATTTTTTTAAAAAGAAAAAAAAGAAAAAAAACTAAGCAAAACTGGTAAGTAATATGCCTGATAGAGAATTTAAAGTAGTGATCATAAAGATACTTACTGAACTTGAGAAAAGAGTGGATGACATCAGTGAGACTGTTAAAAAAGAACCACTCAGAGATAACCCAGTAATTGAAATTAAAAATACAGTAGATGAAATAAATAGCAGACTAGAGGAAGCAGAAGAATGAAACAGTGACCTGGAGATCAGAGTAATAGAAAGTAATCAAGCTGAGCAGGTGAGAGAAAAAAATTATGCAAAATGAGAATAGGCTTAGGGAACTCATTGACTCTAAAAGCATAATAAAATTCTCATTATAGGGATCCCAGAAGAAGAGAGAGAAAAGGGGGCAGAAAATTTATTTGAAGAAATAATAGCTGAAAACTCCCCAAATCTGGGGAAGGAAACAGAAATCCAGATTTAGGAGACATTGAGAAGTCCCAACAAAATCACCCCAAGGAGGTTCACACTAAGATCCATAATAGTTAAAATGGCAAAAAGTAGTGATAAAGAGAGAATTTTAAAAGTAGCAAGTGAAAAGAAGACAGTTACATAGAAGGGAAACCCCATAGGCTATCAGCAGATTTTTTTAGCAGAAACTTTGCAGGCCAGAAGGGAGTGGCATGATATATTCAAAGTGCTGAATGGGAAAAATCTGCAGCCAAGAATACTCTTATCTAGTGAGGTTATCATTCAGAATAGAAAGGGAGATAAGGAGTTTCCCAGACAAATAAAAGTTAAAGGAGTTCATGACCAGTAAACCAGTCCTACAAGAAATGTTAAATGGGACACTCTGAGTGGGAAGGAAAGGCCATAAATAAAAGTAAGAAAAGTAGGAAGCATAAAAACAGTAAACATAAGTGAAACATCTGTGAAAATCAGTCAAGGGACTCATAAAATAAAAGCATGTACAGTATGACACCATATTTCTAAAACGTGGGAAGGAGAAGAATAAAGAATGGGCTCAAACTTAAGCAACCAGCAACTTAATATAGACTGCTATATGCACGAGATCTCATATACAAACCTAATGGTAACCACAAATCATAATCCAGTAATAGATACGCAAAACATAAAGAGAAAAGAATCCAAGAATATTACTAAGGAAAGCCAACTTATTGTAAGAGAAGAGAGCAAGGGAATAAAGGAACAGAGTAGAACTACAAAAACAACCACAAAACAAGTAACAAAATGGCAAAAAATACATACCTATCAATGATTACTTCGAAGTAAATGGACTAAATGCTTCAATCAAAGGAAAAAGTATGATGGAATGGATAAAAAAACAAGACCCGTTTATCTGCTGCCAACCAGAGACTCATTTCAGAACTAAAGATACCTGTAGGTGAGGTGGAGAAGAATTTCTCATGCAAATGGATGTCAAAAGGAATCAGGTAGCAATACTTATGTTGGATAAAACAGACCTTTTTTTTTTTTTTAAAGATTTTATTTATTTGACAGAGAGAGAAGGAGCACAAGCAGGGGGAGTGGGAGAGGGAGAAGCGGGCTCCCCACTGAGCAGGGAGCCTGATGCGGGGCTCAACCCCAGGACCCTGGGATCATGACCTGAGCTGAAGGTAGACGCTTAACCAACTGAGCCAACCAGGCCCCCTGATAAAATAGACTTTAAAGCAATTACTGTTAACGAGACAAAGAAGGCACCATACACACAACACACACACACACATTTAGAGGGAGAGGGGGAGATAGAATCTTAAGCAGGCTCCATGCCCAATGCAGAGCCCAATCTCACAATCCTGAGACTGTGACCTGGGCCAAAATCAAGTCAGATGCTTAACTGACTGAGCCACCCGGGTGCCCTAAAGAAGGACACTGTTAAAGGGTACAATCCAACAAGAAGTTATAACAATTGTAAAAATTTATGCACCCAACACAGGAGCACCCAGATATGTAAAACAGTTAATGACAAACATAAAGGAACTCATCGATAATAATACAATAATAGTAAGGTATGTTAACACCCCACTTATGTCAATGGACAGATTATCCAAACAAAATCAACAAGGAAAACAGTGGCTTTGAATGGATTTAATAGATATATTCAGAAACCAGATGGATTTAATAGATATAGTCAGAAAATTTCTTAAAACAGCAGAATACACATTCTTT